CTATCAAACTACCAATGACATTTTGGTATAATGTAAATGAGGGCAAATCCCTGATACCGGCCATCTCTCTTACTTTCATATTCATTCTGTAGTTCTCTGTACTTCTTCACTAACACAAACTTCCATTACGCTCCTCTTCTCAGGGATGTCTTTTGGAGTTTCTGACCTGTGATAAACTCCTCCAGAACTTTAGTTTCTTCTCTAAACACCTCGTTCCGCTTGAATCCCATTCTTCCCTGAGGACACATCATCCTATGCAGACTTTTAACCTGGTTATTTCCTCATCCCCAAAAGGCGTTGGGGTCAGGAAGCGAAGTTCTCTGCTGCTGTGTCAACCACCACTCCTCTAAAATTGTGGAAAAGAATAACTATTTTCCTTTTAGGCTTATGTCATCCTGTCTATATAAATATTCTGTCCTGGACGTTTTATCTTCATTCCTTGAGAACAATGACCCTTGATTCAACCCTCTTTTACATTTCAATTTCTATCACTTTCTTTTGTGACTTCAATATCCACGTGGATAACCCACCCAAGAACCTGGCCTCTCTTGACCAACTTGTCCATTTCCAGTGATTTTACTTTCTATTTCAAATTCTCCTTTCTAACCACAGTTGCCTAACTTTCTATATTTCTTCCTCAACTATTCCTCTCATATCTGTTCCTTGATATATTTAGGACTTTCAGCCCACTTACTTCCCCCTGCCTATCAGTCCCTTTGTAGCTCCACTTCTCTCTTTATTACACTTAGATTTCTTGGTCCACAATTTAAATAAATCTCTTAAATATTTTTGCTTCTCTGTTCATTCCAGACACACCAATTAATATCTTTCTTCAGCCCTAGCTGGTTTGGCTTAATGGATAGAATGTCAGCCTTCGGACTAAAAGGTCCCGGGTTCAATTCCGGTCAAAGGCACATGCCCAGTGGCTGGGGCGTGTAGGAGGCAGCCGATCATTGATGTTTCTCTCTTCCTCTCTGAAATCAATGAAAGTATATTTTTAAGAACATGCTATATTTCTTCAATTAGCTCTCCTATATCTTATACTCCATCTTTTTATTATATTACTTGCAGAGTATGTAAGCATGCCCAAATTTCTCTTAACCTCAAAAACATCTTTCTAATTTCCCTCCCCCATCCTTTCCAAATACTGTCCTATACTTTTTTTTACAGCCAAATTTAGAAGACAAGTTGTCTACATGATTGCCAATCTAGTTTGGACTCTGGCCCCTGTACCTCACCAAAACTGGTCCTTCTAAGCTACCCTGCTAGCGGTTCTCAACCTGTGGGTCTTGAACCACAGGTTGAAAACCGCTGCTGTAGAGCCTAAGACCATCAGAAAACAGATATTTACATTATGATTCATAACAGTAGCAAAATTACAGTTATGAAGTAGCAACGAAAATAATTTTATGGTTGGGGGTCACCACATGAGGAACTGTATTAAAGGGTCATGGCATTAGGAAGGTTGAGAACCACTGTTCTAAGACTAATCATTCCCTTCATATCCTAAATGCAATAGACAGCTTTCAATACTGGTTCTATCAGCAGCATTCAATATATCTTCCTGCATAACTTCATTTTTTGTTATATTTTACTATTTCTTTTCTTACCCCTCCCTTCCAATCTTTAAACTTAGGTGTACTGAAGGTCTTCTCTCCTCACTGCTGAGACAATCCCACCCACTCCCCTGTCTAATTCCTATAACTTGTATGTATTTACCTAAAAATATAATATGGAATCAGATTTAATGACATATAGACATCTAGGCACATTTTCAGAACCCTCTCATTAGAACTTAAGAAAACTTAAGTTTTCTACTAGGTCTTATCTTTCCTGTTATCGCTTTGGTTACCCTAAAACATCTAGGTAGGAATTTATTTACTCATCTTCACCAAATTCCTTTATCCTTTCTATTTTTTTCTGTAAACTGACAAATGATTATCATAAACCATGCAAAAAAAAAATACAGAAAATACAGAAATAACAAAAGTAAAAAAGAAAATCACCTTAGACTTTACCTAATAACAATTTGAGTAGTAGTAAACATTTTGCAGACACCATTCTATGAGTATGTCCAAACAGAAATAGAAATATAGTTTTATCAGAAATATAGTTTTATCAAAAATATCTTTTTAAAAAAATATATATATTTTATTGACTTTTTTACATAGAGTCATTGATCAGCTGCCTCTTGCACACTCCCTACTGGGGATGTGCATGCAACCAAGGTACATGCCCTTGCCTGGAATCTTTCAGTCCACAAGCCGATGCTCTATCCACTGAGCCAAACCAGTTTCGACAAAAATATTTTTATTTTAAAAATCTGTTTTACTTTCTATAAATTTAATAGAAGAAAATGAAATAATGTTTCTCTAAGTGACTGCATCTATGTTGAGGGAGCAACCATGAAGAAAAAGAGTACTTGCAGATTTTATTTATGTTTATAGTTACATAAAGGTATTTGCTGGAGACTTCCTGAGTTGGTAAAGAATATCCCACTAGGATGAAAGTAGACTTACAGAATGTTATCTGAGTATTCACCTCAACCAAAGAAGTGATTTGCACATCTGATACTCATTTTCAATCCCTAGTTGTCTAGAGCAGAGGTCAACAAAAGTTTTCTGTAAAGAGCTAGGCCTTGTGGGCTGTATTAATTTTCTACTGCTGTCTAATAAGTTACTTCAAACTTTGTATATTTAAAAATATCCAATTATTATCTCACTGTTTCTGTAGGTCAGAGTCTGGGTGGGTTCAACTGGGTTCTCTGTAAAGGATCTTACAAGGCTTTAATCTAGGTGTTGGCTCAGCTGGAGTCTATCTGGAGGCTCCGGGGGAAGAACATTCTTCCAACTTTACTCAGGTGTTGGCCAAATTCAGTTCCTTGCAGTGATAGAACTGAGGCCCCTACGTTCTTGCTGGTGGTTGGCTAGTGGCTGCTCCACGGTCCTCCTACCATGACCCACTCGTCTCAGCAACAGAGAACTTCGTGTTCAATCTCACTGATGCTTTCAATCTATTTTCTCTGCTACCAATCATAGAAAACTCTTTGCTTTTCAAGGGTTCAAGTAATTGAGCTAGGCACACCCAGATAATACATTATCTTAATGTCAACTAATTAGCAATTTTAATTACATTTTTAAAAATCCCTTTGCCATGTTCCATAACATAATCACAAAAGTAATACCAGGGAATGAAGGTCAGGAGGACCATCTTAGAATTAGGCCTACCACAGTCTGTCTTCTGGCCTCCATGATTCAGATACATCCCACCTGTGAAATGTAGTGCCCCAGTACAGGGTTCCTAAAAGTCTCATCCTATTATGTTATCAGTTCAAAGTAAGTCCCTATACTTAAATCTAAACCTCATCATCTCAAAGTCCAAAATCTTATTCTTATCCAAATTATAGCTCTTGATGTAATCCATTATGCACAGCTTCTTTCTATTTATAAATCTATAACTAAAGAAGTTATCTGCCATAACCACTTCCAACATTTAAAAACCAAAAGGTGACAATAAATATAGTGTATCCATATGGGTTTGTAGGATAACACTTAAGTCTTTATAACAAATTATCAATTTCCCTACTAATTTTAAATTTCAGAATTGATAATTTCAGAAAATGCCTTTTAAAAAATTAAATCAGGAATTTATTAGAGGAGAGGAAAAAGTGAAGGCCAATTAAATATTCTCCCACTCTTTTTTTTAATATGTTGATTTCAGAGAGGAAGGAAGAGAGAGATGGAAACATCGATGATGAGAGAGAATCATTGACCGGCTTGCCTCCTGTACACCCTCCACTGGGGACAGAGCCTGCAACCCAGACATGTGCCCTCATCCGGAATTGAACCCGGAACCCTTTAGTCCACAGGCCAGTGGTCTATCCACTGAACCAAACCTGCCAGGGCAATTCTCCCACTCTTAATGAAAAAATTTAAAAATCACATTATTTGGTCTGCGTGGCTAGTAGGTAAAATGGTATGTGGTTCTACTGTGAATGACATTCTGATATGATCAAAAGCTGCATGGTACAAATTCAATGAGACACTAATCTTATGCTTACTTTTCAAAGCTTAACAACTCTGAAATATTATATTTTAAAATAATGTATCAATTTCTTCTGAAATCAGTGTATTTATAAAGGTTTTTAATTAGTATAACAGATGAGCAAATATCATTCATAATTTATAGCATATCACAGATTTCTCATAATCCAAGTAACTATGTGGCATAATGTACCTCCCTGGTTTAAATAAATAGTGCAACTCTCTGGTGATCTGCAATGGCTTGTAGGAATTTAGTTTAAAAAAAAAAAAATATATATATATAGAGAGAGAGAGACAGACAGACAGACAGACTTGTATGTGATCAGAACCTGGAGGAAAAGAGAAGTCTGTGATCAGAACCTGGAGGAAAAGAGAAAAGGGAGAACAGATGATGGTACTAAACTTAAGTATTTTTCCAGAAACACTACAAAAATCTTAGTATAAAAAGGTGGAAAATATAATGAGGCCATGCTTTTGAAGCTTTATATTTCATAGCAGTTCTGGAATTATAATCAGTCCTGACCTAGTCAGCAGTATATGTTCTATACGAGCAAGTAATATCAAACATATAGAGCTAGAGCGTTCTTAATGTATCACACAGTTTTAACCTGGAAAGAAAACAATGTGTTCTATAAGGAGTTCAGATGATGTCAGAATCAACCACCCAATAAATGTTTAAGACACTGGGCTAGACCCTGTGAAAGATAAAATACATAAGGGAAATCATATATACATAAGAGAAATCATATATAAATCATATATAATCTTCAAGGGCAACTTATAGATGAAAAAAAAAATTATACCTACCTATTCAAGGGCTTAGAAATTTTGTAAAGGTATGGCTACCTTTACATGTGAAAATTAGAATGAAAGGTGGTTGGGCTTATCATATTAAAATTGTGCACATCACAGACGTTGAACTCAAACTGTATTTGGGCTATTTGATCAGATACTCACAGAATGATTGTAAGAAGGTTCCAATATCACAGGTAATGACATTTTCCCTTGAAGATTCAATTTGGTTAAATAAAAAATCTTTTCCCCCACAATCTTTTCTTTTTTCATGCGGTGTACACCATACAGTCTAAATCGAACTGCATAATTTCCAATCATCTCAGATTCAACATGGTTAAATTTGAATGTTTCTGTGAAGACAGGGCATGGTCCTCTCTGGATGCTGGTTTTTGCTCTCTGTTTCTTTATAGGTAGAAGAACAAGGTGTACTTGCCATGAGTTGCCACCTGTCCTGTTATATGTTGGTATATCTGTGACAGCTGTCACGGTTACCAGGAGCTTCTGTTCTTGTGAGTCATAGTCAAAAGTCACATCCAGCGTGCCATACTTAGCTTCTGGCTCAGGATCAAAGGGTTTGGGAAGCTGTGAAGATGATCCTTGAGCTGACATGTCCTAAGAAAAGCAAATTTAAATGTTTTCAGTTTTAGCTCTGTTCTTTGATCTGGCATGTAATTAAAATACCTGGTCTGTCTCAGGAAGTGGGTGTGAGAACTGGTTGGTTGGCTACCACAAAGAACGTGATAACAATCAACAGTTTAGTACAACCGGCAGCTACTCTACAGAGCCACAGTACTATACATGGTAAGCTAACCCCAAAAACTTATCCAAAAAGAGAATTTTGTATTCACCGTTACAATTTTGAGAAAGGTGAGATATGTTTTTATAATGAGAACTGAAAATATATGCTTCAATGTGTATCTCCGATCCTGTTGTAGGAACCTATTACATTTTCTTCCAACATTATAAACAATGCAACTGACATGTCAACATTAGGCTGGAGAGAAAGAGAATACAAAGAAAAGTATAATGCTATTGAAAAAATTGGTCCCATTTATGATAGTTGAAAATCACTGGAAATGTGAAATTATAAACACAAAGTTCTCAAAATATTTATAACCAAATACTTTTCTGTAACATAATTTTTAATCAGAATTTAAAACTTATTTCTAATACTAATTACTGTTGAAAATGGCAGAATAATACATATTTCAAAAGTTCAAGAAGGACCAAATCTGTTCACTTTAATTATGTGATTAAAAGAAATTATGCCCATTTTCCTGGAATTGTCTCAAATTCCTGCCAGTGTTAACCACCTGGAATGTGAACAGAGTTTCAGCCAGTTATTGACTGACCTTTCAACTCTATCACTTGCTCCTTCAAGTATTTTAATAAATATTAAATGTTTTTCATTTTAAAATGTGGACTACTCTTACTTAGGAGTCCCTACTATTGACTGCCAGTCTTCTCTTCTTTGTGAGTTTTAGCCAGTGACACACAGTCTAGCAAAAGACTCTAATTTCCCTCCTGGCTGATATGTCCATGAGGCTCAGCTGTGGCTAATGGGTGGCAAACGAAGGTTACTATATATGAAACATCCAGACTCTATTTATAGAAGAAATGCCTTCACTTCCGTTCTCTCCCACTCTTCCCACAGAAGAGCTGACACCAAGAGAGGATGTGTGGGCCAGTATGGACCACGGGGACTAAGACAGCACCCTACGGATGACAGTGACAAAAAAGAAGGAACTGGGCCCCTGGGCAAAGCCATCTACTCACCCTGGTAAGTGAAAGACAATCTTTCTATGAGTTTTACTCATGGCATTGGACTCTTTGTTATAACAGCTTCATACAGATCCTAACTATAAGACCTACCATGTGTCAAGCTCTGGTTTAGGTGGGAGGGATGCAGTATTGAACCAAATACATACATGTTTTCGACCTCATAAATATTATATGTCTATGTACTATGACCCCCTTGGTAACATGTATGGAAAAGAAGATGACAAATTAAGGACCATACTTGGTGGGGAGGGACCAAGTTTCCTAGAAGACCTTTTATATATATAAATTATATATATATAATTCAATTAGAATAAACATATTCTTGTTCTGTAAAAAAATAAAATAAAATTACAGTTTAGACCAAAATGTTTTAATGCATGCCATTTCTTAATGGCAAATAAAGATGCTTAGAAATTTCAATTATTTTTTAAAACAGTGTCATGACAGCTATTTTCAGGGCAATAAAAAAATTTTTTTTTTTAAATGTTCTAGATAGCTATTTCTGAATTTTGTTTCTCTTGGTCCATTCTAACAATTCTCAGGACCTTCACAGATTAAGCTTATAGGTGTATTCTGTAAGAATTCTAAATCAGAAAATAACCCTCCCTCTCAAGGGATCTTAGAATTGTGAGCAGTGTCCACCAGCAAGAAATCATCACTGGGGTCCGAGCTCCCTGCCAGGCTCTTCTGAACCCTCACTCTTCCCAGCTCAGTGTGTGTGGAGAGGCTAAAGTAGCCACATCCTGAGGTAAGCCCAGAGGAAAGTCAAGATTCTGTATTTCTTACTATGTATTAAAGGGATGGGAAGTAAAATAAACTTTAAAAATACGGGAGTGAGTTTTATATTAACAGAGGTTATTGGCATATAAATATTTATGTCAATATTTGCTCTATTTGAATATAGTCAATTCTAGAGGAGACTGGTCAGAAGTATTAACACAGATAGCAAGTTAGTAGCTTCTGAAATATGGGCAGAATTCACCAGCTGTATCACTACAGATAATAAATAATGAAGCAGCTTCAGAGAGACAGGCAGAATTGTGAAGATGTAGTAAATATAGTCACTAAGTAACTTGTAAGAAAAAATAGAACAAGTGAATATTACTTATTAAAAGGGATGGGAAGCCCAAGCCATGATCATGTCATGTGTTCTAGCCAAGAAATGCAGGTAAAACCTATGCCTGTTGCGTAGGCTAACTTGCCAAAGTTTCACGGGTGATGAGGACTACTTGCCCCTGCAATAAGGTTTGTATTTCTGGCCCTTGGCACCCCTGCTCCTAGTTCAACTCACGTCCTTGCTGCCATACCATAACCGGGGGATACAGGTGGAGCAGGAAGAGTGAGATGGGACAAATGGGCATTACCTACGCCAGGATTCACATAGTGTGGTCCTGCCTCTGTGCCTGCTGGCATCCTGTCCTAAGTGTGGAACCTACCTCATCTGGATCCTCTTACTTCTTTTATATCTGAACACTTGGTAGTGGAGGCAAAGTCAGCTAGCAAGAACAATGACACACTATAGTTCTACAAAATGTTGTCTAGGACAGAAGTTGTAAAAACTTGCAAATCTAAAAGAGAGAAATTTAAAAAATAAATACTACCTTATGAAACCCTCTACATGACCTTTATAATTTTCCTCTTTTATAGAATTTTTTTAAGAACTTTCTAGAACATGTAAAGACTTCAAATGTGTAACACCCCTATTTTTGGTGTTAATTTTCACATTTTTTTTTTTGCTCCAAAAGAGGAAATAACTTAAAACACAACCAACAGACGCCATGAGTTCAAATTTCGTTAGTGAAGCTGAGCATGACTTACCTCTTCTATATTCTAGGATAGGAAAATGCAAAACTGTTATTTTGCAAAATATTAATGGGCAGCCTCCCAATATAAAAATGTCCCAAATAAAATAAAATTTTAAAAGACACAAACATCAATAGAAACCTCACTCATTACGAAACAAACAAATATTTCCAGAATGTTGTTTTTAAAAAAATCTATCTTGAAGTTGAAACTTGGAAGTTAATTTTTCAATATTTTATGTATTGCTCTCATTTTCAGCTATCCATCTTCTGGGGCGGGGGCGGGGGGGAGGGGGGATGACAGGGAGAGCAGCCTGAAGGATGGTTGAGACACCCCGGTAAGTCTGCTGGTTAAAGATTAGATCGAGGATAGAAACTGGTACACTAAGCCACCACGTGCTAAGACCTCCTCCTTACCAAGAGCAGCAGCACAGGATTGTCATCTTCCAGGTAACAGTCACTCTACAAACTCTGTGTGCTCTCACTTACTTCGGGGCTCAGGACGGCCGTGCTGTCGCTGGGAACGTCCTCTTCGTATCCTTTGTTGTGAAAGCTCTCTATTTCGTGACCCGTGCTCCCCTCACTCGGGCACTTGTGATAGCGCCGTGGGCTGTTGCTGCAGTGGGAAAATTCACATTTACTGTCCCCGATTTCGGAGGGCGTACACGAGAGGTGGGGGGACCCGCTGTCGTCCTGGTACGGCGGGGGCTGCAGTTCGTCCAGAGGGGGCGTCCTTCTCATTCTCTGGATGCAGTTTCCTGACAATGAGTAAGAATCGGGTCACTGTTTCCAAGTGGCCTCAGCACGCAGCACAGTCCACAACCATTGCAAACAACTTAAAAAAAAAAGACTGATGGGAAATTTTATGCTTCACTAGTTCAGATGCAGAAGTAAGCTAATCGGATTTCCCACTCTCTCCTCCTGCGCAGTGGTATTAGGAAAAAATAAAACATACTCTCAAATACTAGAGAGGGCCAGTTCTATAGCATAAAAACGGGAGCGATCAATATCCATGAAATAGCTTACCTAGTTCTTTTTCAGAACAAACCTGAAGCATCAGACTTCCTTATGATCTGTGTCCTCTCTAGCCACAGTAGATAAAAAGATTGTGGGTAAAACACACACAAAAACTTCATTTATTTTCCTCAATTACTGAGATGAACTGAATGTTAGTTTAATAAATTCACCAGAAACTATTCTTTCACGTCTGCCCTAGATCCGAATCCTGACAAGCGGTGCTCCCTATCGATCAGCAAAAATGGATGAAGGCTGCATCCGTCCCATCCCACCTCCATCGTCGTCATCGGAGACCACCCCCTGTCCCCCCCTAGCCTGGGGCGGTGCTCCGTCTGACCAGCTCCACCTTGTCCTGCAGCAGTTAAGGTGCAACCGCTTTTCCTCCCCTCTTAAACGGTCCTTTGAGTGTTTACCTCCACGCTGTGTCTCAATGACTGAGGACATGCCTGTGAACAGCATGGACATGAGAGCAGGAGGGGGGGGCTTACGGAGACAGGGCTCAGTTCACAATTTCAGAACAGCTACGTCTGTGTAGATAAACCCTGAATGCAACATCAGGTTTTACATGGTAATACATTGTTTAGAGTAGGAGCATGCTCAAAGAATGAAGGGGACACGTTCTCAGGACAAAGAAGCCAGCTTGTAGGGGTTAGCACAGACCAAATCCCACTACCAATCTGAGTTTCAAAATAAATAATTTTAGTAACTACTTACAACACCTTGAGGGAAGGAGGAAAGCCATGAGTCCATCTAGACATAAATATTTGAAAGAACTTTAAGGAACAGGTTATGGACACAGTGTCAAAGTACCTTCTGACAAAGTAATTAATTAATGGGAGCAACTTGACAATGAAAGGCCTAGTAGACACACCTCCCTAACGGAGAGATCAGAGCGGACATTGTGAGTCATGGGACCAATCAAATTGTGCATCACCTCGTAAGTGAGAGGCACACAGCACCCCTCGGTGGCATTCCAGCTCAGGATGCACAACCCGAATCTAACCATGACAAATGCCAGAGAGACGTGGACATTCTAAAAGGGAAATGCCTGCCATCTTAAAAAACGAGTGAGGAACTGTTCTAGACGAAGGAGACCAAGGAGGTGTGACAAATGAAGGCAAAGCATGACTTTGAACAAAACCTTTTTGCTATAACAGACATTATTTGAAGAGCTGTTGACCATGAATGGGTTCTGAGGATAAGATATAATAATATATCAATGTCAGTAACTTAATTCTGATGGTTGTAGAGTGGGTATTTAGGAGAATACTCTTGTTTGTAGAAAATATACACTAAAGTACTTGGGGTGATAAAGCAGCTAGTCAGTGGGCCACTTATTGTCAAATGGTTCAAGGGGGCAAAAGGGACTCTAATATTTTCCCACCTTTTGTTATTTTCCCACCTTTTGTTAATTTTGTGAATAAAAAAAAAAAAAATCTCCATAAAAGTGACACCTTCATACTTTCTGAAAATAAATGTGAAAATCAGATGATATAGACAAATTCCTAGGGAACCACAACCTATCAAAACAAACTCATGAAGCAGCAGGAAAATTATATATTATTATATCTCTTAGAGAAATTGAATGCACACTTTAAAACCTTTCTAACAAAGACAACTCCAGACCCAGATGGCTTCGCTGGCGAATTTACCATTTAAGGAAGTAAAAAACGCGAATCTTATACAAAACACTTCAGATAATATGAAAAAGAGAAAATATTTCTGAAATTAACGCCAGCATAACCTTGATTACCGAGGCCTGATAAAGTATCTTATAAAAACTAAGCCAATCTATCTTGTAAACACAGATACAAAAATTCTACACAAAATATTAAAATAAACCTAGAGTCATATAAACAGGGTACCACATCCCAACCAACTTGGTTTATATTATACTAAGAGTATAGAGTTATTCTATAAATGTAAGGTGGATTTAACATTAGGATATTTAATTAATTGCATTGAAAGAATAAAGGTAAAATTATTAAATGCTCTTTTAATCGTACTGAATAAAAAAGCACTTGATAAAAGTTATCCATTCGTGACAAAAATATCTGCACAAACTGGGAATAGAAGCCAATTTCTTTTCTCTCAGAAAGGGTATCTGTGAAAGTCCCACAGCAAACATCACTTTTAATGCTGAAATAAATGCTGAAAGCTGTACCTCTGAGGAAGGGACTAAGACAACAATGCCTGTTATCAACACTTCAATTTAATGTACTGGAGGTGCTAGCCAGTGCAATGAGGCGAGAAAAAGATGATGCAAAGAATTGGAAAGAAAGAAATAAAATCCATTACTCTCAGATGATAATTGTGATATAGAAATACCAAAATAATTTTAGAGATAAATTAGAAATAGAAGCACTTTGAGCAAGGTCACTAGATACGAGAGCAATACTTACACACCACACAACACACACACACACACACACACACACACACACGAGCAATTAGAAAGTGAAATTTAAAAGCAATCCCACGTATCATTGCATCAGATAACATCAAATACTTAAGAAGAAATCTAAAGTATCACCGTGCATTATTTTCCCAGTTCTTGGGTTTACAATTATAATGTGTACTCTTAGCAACTGGCAGACGCTACACATTGGCTTTCTACACAGTGGCTATTTGGTAGAGGAAGGGGGACAGCTGGAGACCACGGGGGCTTCCTTTCTCTAACAACAAGACACCCCCAGGGAAGAGCAGAGACTAGTCTACCATCACAGACTTGAGAACTGCTGACCTCATAAATGTCCTCACTAGCTTGGCCACTGCAAACTTAACAGGCCTGACCAATGATCATACACTTCATCAGAAGATGGCTGCAGCTGGAGATGTCACTCCAGAGAGCCTCCTTGCTGAGTGAATGTAGTTGATAGGCAGCTTTAATGTAGCAAATGATTTTTCTTTCAGAACAATCCAGAGAGAAAGGTTAACAGGTTGTTTTCATGGGGCAAGGAGAGCAATACTCCAGCTGTCCTGTGTGATGGGGATTCTTGGGATCTTTTGCTAGAAGTGGGTTTGCTGAATCAAAAAGCAATTCCACTTCTAATTTTTTTGAGGAAATCATGAAGACAGTTGTTTCTTATCATTTTTCCCAGTGTTCTAATTATTTATCAGAAAAGCAAGTCCTATAGCACTGTGATTTCTTCATGGTTGAAGTGGAAATTCCAGTTCTTCTAATTTTAAACACAATTGGAAGAAGCTAGATCACATATTCTTAATGAGGGTAATATTATACCCAAGGGGGTTAAAATAAGCACTGAAGTGGGGGACAAATTTTGACCAATCTAAGCTTAACCCTACCAAACAAAATCTTAATTACTTAGTAATTTTCTTTTATTTAGAAGTTAAATTCAAATTAAGTTGATTTATATAAATTAAAATTATCTCTGTAGGGAAGCAACAATGGGAAAAGGTTGAGAAACACTGATCTACTTAGCTTGACAAGTCACTTCTACTGAGCTCTAAAAAATATCAGTGACTAAAAAATATATAATAAAGGCATAATATGCTAATTAGAATGACCTTCTGGACAAATCTGGGGCTGTGAGGGCTGAGGCAAGCTATAGCAGCTGCGAGGCCCTTGCACAAATTTCGTGCATCTGGCCTCTAGTATTGTTATAAACCTAGAACAGTGGTCGGCAAACTGCAGCTTGTGAGCCACATGCAGCTCTTTGGCTTCTTGAGTGTAGCTCTTCCACAAAACACAATGTGGGGACGTGCACATACAGTGTGATTGAAGGAGTACCCTAATTAATAACAATGTACTTACCTATATAGTTTAAGTTTTAAAAATTTGGCTCTCAAAAGAAATTTCAATCATTGTACTGTTGATATTTGGCTCTGTTGACTAATGCGTTTGCTGACCCACTGTCCTAGAGCTTTAAGTATTCATATCTGTGTCTCACACTACACAAAGAGTCAGTGAAAAGTTTCCTGATGTTCTATTCAGCTACTTGATAAGTCAAGTGTACACACTCTAAAGAAACATTTTCACATCTTTTTGTTTTAAATCACAGGAACTAAGTAATGTTTATCCTTACTGTGTGCAAAAATTATATTTTATGGTCAATATAATTTCAATTTTTAAAATGTTTTTCAAGATCCATAGAATTGATTTCATGATCTCTCTGCAGTTTGAAAATCACTGTACCTGCTTTGCCAGACTACTCATGTTTTCTAAAATTGATGGGTATTATCATGACTCACTAATATTGGACATGGCTCAGTACACTGTTCTTTGTTTCCAATGTCCACCTATGGATGTCCTGGTTTCCAAGATCCAAGACTCTTTATTTCTAGCATAAAATGTTTCCTGTTCTGTTTTAACAATTCCATCCTTTGTGCCAACATTCTGTACCTACTTTCCATAGTACTTTGCAGTATACGTAATTCTTTAACAACTATTTCCCCAAATCACAGAAAAACAACATCTAATAAAAGTGTTTACAACATGTGAAGAAACTGGAACCTTCATACACTGCTAATGGGCATGTACAATGGTACGACCACTTTGAAACGTAATTTGGCAGTTTTTCAAAACGTTATACATAGAGTTATGATATGACCCAGCATTTTCCACTCCTACATTGCATGTACCTAAGAAAAATGAAAACATACATTTCATAATGAGTTGTACATGAATGCTCATGGCACCATTACTCATAATAGTCAAAAGGTAGAAAGAACCCAAATATTCATCAAGGGATGAATGAATAAATGAAATGCATTTACCTAT